ACATCAAGATAAAGTAGAGACTTAGTGCTTTCATTTCCTATTAAATTTTTTCTCCCTAAAGTCCAGGTCTTGGAAAACAGGCTTCATGGAATTGCAATGTTCTTGAATTTTAAGGAAAACAGGTATATTTGAGTACTTTCACAGAAGAGAAATAATATGAGCGCACCCTCTGATCTAAAAAATAAAACATGTTTTGTAATCCTTAGAAATAGTTCTATCATTTAATAGTTGCATATTTTAGATCAGAGGTTGCGCTCTATATTAAATATTGAAAAATAGCTTTAAAAATTGGCTGTTTTTGTGGAATTTTTCAGGATATGAGGAAAATGACGCATTTAATGACGTCATAATGCATTGACTAGCCAGAAAATTACGTCATTTTTGATTGATACACAGTCACCAAAGGTCTAAATGAAATTTAATGCATTGCCAACTAAAACTAAGCAGTTTCAGTTTTTTTCAGAAATTCACAGGGCCAAAAAAGGCCCTAAGTGAACCTTGTTCTTTATCAAATTTAATTGAGATTTTTCTTCAAAATGTCACCTTTTTACTTATTTCTATCAAAATGACATTTGTTGAGTTTTACCTGTTAAATATCTAAGATTAAGTGTCCAGATGTGATATGTTAGAAAGTTTACATTTCGTGGAGAACACATGAACTTGTGGGTCTCTTCATATAATAAAAACAATGAAAACTAACCCACCCACCCCCTGAAAATTAGTAATTTCACTGTGATTTCAAAAGGTATAAACTTAAGAAGTAGTAAAAAAAATTAGTAAGAAACTGCTCTGCAAAAACAGACATTAAAGTACTCCATGTTTTCTCATAAAACACAATGGCAATTGATGGTTTTGCAATCAACAATCCATTACAATGATGGGAAAATCTTTTCAATTTTAATCATAATCATTATCAGAAAATCAGAATTGTGAAATAATAGTTCTTAAGCATGATTTTGTTGTTCTCCGCTTTCACTGAAAATGGGGGATATAATTTGGGTCTGTCTATCTGTCTGTGTAACACTTGTTTCCATACAACACTTCAAAAAGCCTTAGCTCTTGCAATGAAATTTTACATCACAACTCCCTATGGCCTATAGAAGACCCCAATTAATATTGAGGTCAAAAGGTCAAAGATCAAGGTCAGAAATTCATACATTCTGTCTGTGTGTAACACTTTCATTTCCAGACAATATTTCTCAAAAAGCCTGAGCTTTTTCAATGAAATTTTGTATCATAATTTTCTCTGGCCTAATTAATGCAGACCCTTATTGATAATGACATCAAAAGAATAAAGGTCAGGGTCAGAAATTCATACCATTGCAAAATATGGTTTCAAGATGATTACTTTATCGTTTTCTTTGAGCTTTTTCAATGAAATTTTTATATCATAACTCTCACTGTTTTAAAGAATACCCCTAACAATTTTTAGTAGGGCTGGGTATCGGCTGGGAATTTCGTATTGCGATATTTTAAACTGTATTGCGATATGTATTGCAATATTTTTAATAACAGTTAAAATGCTCCAGCTTTTCTTAGTTTATTAACCTTCATTTATAATCAGAGTGAATAAAACTACATGTGTATTATAAATACATTGTAGCAAAAACAAAGTTTTTTGTCAATTTCACTTCAGTTTTGCAACAAAATACAACCATACAACAGCAACCTTATTATTTGGCATGATTGATAGTGTTTCTGGCATCTTAAATTTCATATTTTACTTTAGAAATCACAAGCCCTGCAAGCATTTTACTGATATACCGGTACTGGAAAAATGTATCAAAATACAATATTTTTTGTTAACGAATCGCAATATACCAGAATATCAATACTATTGCACAGCCCTAATTTTTAGGTCAAAAGGTGATCGAAGGACAGAAATTCATACATTCTGACTGTGTATAAAACTTTCATTTCCAGATGACATCACAAATAGCCTTTGAGCTTTTGTGATGAAATTTTATATCACAACTCCCTGTGGCCTCCTATTGATTTTGAGGTCAAAAGGTCCAAGGTCAAGAATTCATACATTGCAAAATGGTTTCCGAATGATAACATTAGTTTTCTTTGAGCTTTTTCAATGAAATTTTCTATCATAACTTCCTGTGACTTAAAAAGACCCTTTTGATTTTTAGGTCAAAAAGTCAAATGTCAAGGTCAGAATTCATACTTTGCAAAAAATGGTTTCAAGACAATTAATAACTTAAGTTGTCCTTGAGCTTCTTTAATGATATCATATAACTCCCAATGACTTAATTAAAAGAAGACATGCCACCTATTAGTTTTTATGTCAAAAGGTGAAGGTTAAAAATTGATATCTTGCAAAAATGGTTTCCAGGTGATAACTTAAGTTCTCTTTGAGATTTTGCAATGAAATTTTATACCTTTCATCAATATAAGACCCCTACTGATTTTGAGGTTTAAGAACAAAGTCAGAAATTCATATATTGCATACATAGTTTTCAGATGATGCATTTAAGGCTAAAAATATGTGTGTTTCCAGTAACCGGACCGACCCTAATTTTTACCCACCAACCCTACTACTTTTTATTCCAAATCTGGATTTTGAAATGTGCTTTTGTTCATTAGTATAGTTTTCTCATAACGCAAGTCAATAAATTGCATGTCTCAGAGTGCGACACCATAAATCATGTCTATTCAAGTGTTTCAAAGAGTACGATTGTTTTTGTTGTGTACCTTTATTTATGCATGTTTATGTATATGTGACAAAAAACATTGTGTATTGAATAATTAATTGGTGCTTTCAAAATAAAAAGTAAAATTAAAAAAAAGTTATCGCCTACCTACCTACCCTAATTTTTTTGGTCATGTTACCGGAAACACACATATTTTTTATTTGGCTTAATCAAGTTAATACAATGTAAGTTTTTGCCATGAAATGTAAGGTCTTGAGTTTTCAGTCCTCAAAAGCTTAAAGGACAAGGTCCACTTTTTTTTTCTTTCCCCATCTGCATTTTCCTCCACAGGTCTTCCACTTTTTTTTCTTTTTTCCTTAAGGAATTCCATGTACAAAGAAGGGTTATTGAACAATTTTGAATCATTTTAAACTATAGTTAAATTTTTATTGCTAGATAACGATGAAAGTGAAATGAACCAAATTCACTTGACTGATAACATATACAAGGAGCCTGCCATTTTCACCTTAAACGTTTTTGAAGAGTTATCTGCCCTTGATGAAAAAAAGGGAAAATTTTAACTTTGTCAAAACATCTGTGGTAAATGATTCATTTTATTTCATATTTTAATAAAGGGAGAGTTTATGTATATTTTCACCAAGAGATTTGTATTTTTATTTGATAACACCTTCAAAATGTTACCATGACTAAAAATATTGGACCATTTATTTATCAGGTATAAAAATATGGTTGTTATAAATAAGCACACAAATTCCTAGAATTAGCTTTTTTTTTTCTTTGACTGATTGTGGAATTCAATATTTAATCATTTAATTGTCCTTCAGTTTTAATGTAATCAATATATTAGCAACTTTAACTGATTAATTGGACTTAAATAATTTATAAGAGAGTAAGCTCTCTCCTTAATAAGTAATCTCAGTCATTGACATTCTCTTGTGTCGATACACATGCAGACACAAATATCAAGGTTATTTCGGATATATCCACCCTTCCCTTCACCACCACCACCACAATATTCTGATAAAGCATTACCAGAATGGTCCATAAAAAGGGATCAGAACACCAATCAATCCCCATTTCATTAATACAAGAAAAACCCTGCCAAGCCATTCATATGATTGATAAATACATCACCTTAGTTAAAATATATTGTGCAATACATTTTATAATTAAGCTAGGATTGATAATCTCCAGTATACCTGAAGATGTTGTTTAATAATGTGACACCTAATAGTTTGCTGCTCATAATTAGCACAGCCATCAAGGGAGGGTTTGTGTGATAATTAAAACATTCTGTGCAGTATGTGGCCTTCGGTCAGCTAATATTGCCCATACATTACTTGACACTTGCTTAGTGGCCAGTGGTAATGAGAAAAAGCTTCATCTGTTCATCAGTGGTGATATTAGAGGATCCAGAGGCTGCAGACATTAGTAGACATTCCTGACCAAGAAGGATTCAATTAGTACATAGCCATAGGATCAATCTGCAGGATTAATCAGACCAAGTGATGTTATTTTATATATGTATGATGGAACACCCCACTGGCGGGGGAAACATTACCAATTATAAAGGTGTTTTTTCATGGGTGGCTGACTAAGACATCTGGCTATGTAATTTTCAGTGTCTAGTGAAAAACCTCAGAAGTTGATTTTTTCACCTTTGCTATCTTAAATTGCCTCAAGGCCATGTTATAACTTAATATCACACGCCACACAAAAATAACTTGCTTTACACTTAATGTATTCAAAATTATGCATTATAAATCCATAGCAGAGAGACATTAATAATTTTTGGTGTAATTAATTCTGTCACTGTGCAACAAGAAATTGGAGTTAATTTATTTGTTGATTTTTTTTCTTCACATACCTGTCCTATTAACTTAGTTGACATTTCAAATTTTTGCTAAACCTAAGGTTTGCAAAGTGGCTACTCCACTATGACATGTGATGTTAGACCATAGAGAAAGTTTATGACCAGGAACTTTTGGTTTTACACTAACACAATCAATCTACTCTGGGTTGAACATCATTATTCTGTTTGGTGTCCTTCAGAAAATATTTCAACCTCACTCTTATTTGCATTTATATTCTAAATGTTGAATAAATCCAGGTAAGACAAATAACTTGAAATGACACTGTTTCATTTAGTTTTGGTATAACACATTCTTCGTTCAATTGATAAGCAAAGCTATTCAAAGCATTCAGCATCATCAACAGTCTGCCATCTTTATCGAATATCGGCTTTGTATTTTTTTTTTCTCGCACGGGGAATTTAAAAAACGCCGCGATTACTGTTTAATTCAAAAAAGAAGGAACAAAATGAAGCTTGTATACACTCACCTGGGCCCGGAGACGCCATCCTAAACGTCAATGAGTTAAAACAATTCCTAATTATATATCAAGAATCTGCATTTTTCATATCGCCCATTATTCAATGCAACTTCCAGCATCATTCATCCGGGGTTTAAACCCATCATGATGATAATATATCTACAAATAGTCTAGAAATGGTTTAGTCATAGGAATTAAAGAAGCCTCACTCTCCGTGTAATTCCTCGACAATTTCAAGTCATACACATCGCGAGTATGTTTTCTGACAGACCTCAGTAGCCGATAACCATCGACAAGCAGCTCACCGCGGATGGTTACGCTTGACCAATTTTTTGTGCTTGCATTGTCGGATCGAATTTCAAATAAACCTCAGCATTATAAAACAATTCAATATCATCAATAATTAGAAACATTATTTATGTATTTTTTATAATAAATTTTATTTTATACATGTATGGCGCAGTGAATATTATTCGCTGCTAGCCTGCATTTGTAAAACAATGGCGGAAGAGAGTAGGATGAATTTGGCTGCTCTGCAGCAAAGAGATCCATATATAAACGAAATTGCCGAGACAGCTACACAAGTAGCTTTGTATTCTTTTAATCCTAAAACTAATCAATGGGTAAGTAATGAAAATCATTCTTAATGGGTATTTACGACATGAAACATGCTCCCTTGACATTCTATTTTTATACATGGAATGTAATCTTTACTGCGTTTGTCGATCTTGTTGGTTGTTGTATAGAATAATGTATATAAATCCCTAAGTTCATATACTGTATGTTATGTATACAGCTTAATCTGTGTTGCAGGGCTAGATCAAGAAAAAAATCATTCATTCATGGAATCTTCAGCGTACAGATTCGGAAACAATTTAAAACAAATACTTGGCTTCATATATATTTTTGGAATTCACATACGCAAGTTTGAACTGACAAATGGATTAAAATTTCTATAGTTCTTCACAAAATGCATTATCTCATGTAGATATAATTTTCTGTTGTTAAAATGATAGTACGTGTTGTACAGACCCAAGTTGAAAGTTCTGTGAGTTAACAATGTAGCAAAATCAATATAGGCAGATAACTCGAATATACACTTGTAATATGAGCATTGCAGGGAGTTCCAAATCATATTTCTATACAAGAATGCTGAGAAAATTATTGAAATTTTTTTATCTGGTGCGGTGCACATTGATCTATTAAACTTTAAAATTTTCGATACATGTCATTATATATATAGTATTAACCTTAAATACATTAATTTCTCTGCATTACTTAAACATCCCATTGACCAAGAACATTCAAGGAGACAAAAAATGTGGAAAATCTTTAACAAATATATATCATATTTTCCAAGCAATATAAATAACATGAAAAGAAAATTGCATATTGTTAATCTAAAAATTTGTTAACTGATAGGAGTGATTTCACTACTTGCATACATGTAGTATGCACATTTCACAGTTTATTAGTTGCATAGTGAACTGTACATTTATTAATAAGATTCAAACAGTTTTCTTTTAACATCTTTCCATATTTTCAGGGCCTTGGCAAAGTCGAATTTTGTTCCATTCTCTTCAAAGTTTGTTTTCAATAAGAAATCCTTATTTAAAAGTGAATATGAAATAAAACAGATAACAATAAATGTATTATTTTTATTATGGAAACGACTACTGCATGCTGATTGAGTGACTTCACACTGTCAGCCTTGTTTTAATGTGTGTGATTGCTTAAGACAGTTAATTAACTGCCACAATTTTCAGTAAAATATACATCTGTAACCATGCCATGAATTCAATCTTTTGACAACAAAAAAGTCTTAAAATCCTTCTTAACATCCTTGACATCACATGATTACTCTTTTATGGCTTATTGTTTATATACTTGTAACAACATACTTTTCTATACGTTGATGTGTAAATAATAGAGGAGTTCCTTTCGTATATTCAATGCAGTGGTCAATAAACAGAAAAAACAGGTACAAGTGCCCTGCTTTGATTCACCTTATTTCAGCAGCGATAGCACCAGAGAGATTTATAAAATAGTGGCAATATTACCCAGTTTTCTAGATAGATAAATTATTTAAATGGGGGGTAGGTTAGAATTTAAGGTGACTAAAACTTCTCTTTTGTAATAATTTGATAATTTTCAGCGAAGTTTAGAGCTTAAAAGTGACTATTTCACCTCAGCCCCCCCTCCCCCCCCCCCCCCCCCCAGGTTGGTCCTAAGGCTTGTTTAACATGTTTAATGAAACTTTTGGTTCACTTATAAATGAGGTATTGCTTTGCCCCCCTTGCATTTGTTGAGTTTGTATAAGTTATTATTTTGATGGTAGTAGTTTTAACTGCACAGATCAAAGATACAACAGGCAAAGCCCCCAGAACTTGAATCACATGCTACTATTAGTAACATGTGGAATTGAACATCTTACAACTTACAACTAATTAAAATACCAATATTTGTATAAGCATTATGTTAAGAAATATACTGCAATCTAAAAAGAACAATGTACATCATTATAGGATTGATTTTTTAATGATTTTCAAGAAACTTAGAACTTCAAAGTCATAATGTAATTAATATGTACCATTTTTTCTACAGTAAAATATGCTTATAATGAAGTGCCAGGGACGGACGATTTTGCTCCGTTATAAATGTAATTTGTTATATCCATGAAATTCACAATATGTTTTAAAGTAACGGGAAATGAAAATCACTTTGCTGTAAGCATCAATTCATTGTCAGATTTAAAGCGTGTTTTACTGCATTAACGGTACCAAGACAGCATTTTTGATGACCGTAGACAGAAAAAAAATTGTGCCTCCTTGCTTAAAAGTGATGTTTTAAGTTCAACTATAAGAGTGTACATTCCATACAATCGTGTGAAACGAGGATTAAAAGAAACAAAACTGTACATGTACAAAATCGTGTGGTTTAACTAGTTGATACATTTGGGCGAGCCAGACTGAAAATCAGGTCGTCAAAAATCATCCCGAGATGGATATGATGAGGTGACGAGCATGAATGTCGGACCCTGCAATTACTCTTGCATCATGATAGAGTCACTATACCTTGTTTTTTGACGGCTTTATAGCCATTGAGGTTTATCTATATTGAATAAATCTTCAAAATATATTAAACAAACATGTGCACTGTAAGTTTGGTTGTGTATTGTGCAGGAATAAACAAGATACTTCAAGCATACAAAATAAAATTATGAAGACTTACTCTATAATAACAATTGTAAAATGTATTTCCTAATGTACAAGTAGATCTGCTTAATAACTCCAACTTATCACAAATTTGTGTCCAAAACCTGCTTAAAATATCTTATAAACAGAAGCATGCTTTGGTATGCATAAAACATTAAAAGTATATCATTGTATAGTGTACTTGTATTTGGATATATCTTAAACTTAATGATAAACATATAAATTTACAGCTGGGCCTCTAGTTGTTGATATAAACCAGTATTTTGAATGATAGGATTAAAAAGAGTTTTAATAATGAATGGGTAATTTTGATTAGCATGGACTATCTTTATTTATCAAAAAATATTACCGTAACAGCTCATGACACATTTTATTTTACTTACCTGTCATATATATCTCTGTGATTCCTAGTGGAACATAAGGCCTCTAAAACAATATTTTTATACCCCGCCATGAATATGGCCAGGGCATATAGAGTTTGTCATGTCTGTCTTCCGTCATTCCATCCATCTGTCCTTCCGTTGCACTTTGCGTTTAGCTCAGTTCAAAGATCAGTTTTAAAGAAACTATTCAAGATATTTTTATCAAACTTCATGTGCTGATAGATATTGATGAGAGCTATTCAACTGCATCAACATTTTTTCACCTTGACCTTTCCTTTGACCTCACTTTTCTTAAATTTGTGTTTAGTCAGTTTTAAAGAAACCATTCATGATATTCTTATCAAACTTCATATGTTAATACATACTGATGTAAGCTCTTCAACTGCATCAACAGTTTTGACCTCAACCTTTCTTCTGACCTTGACCTCACTTTTTTAAATTAGTGATTAGCTCAGTTTTAAATAAACCATTCAAGATATTTTTATCAATCTTTATATGCTGATACATATTAGTGAGAGCTATTCAACTGCATCAAAAAATTTTGACCTTACTCTTTCTTTGACCTTGACCTTACTTTTCTTTAATTTGCATTTTTCTTAGTTTTAAAGAAACCATTTCAGATATTTAAATATATTTAAGGCCTATGCACTTATACATAATTTGATGAGAATTTATCATCTGTATCCAATTTTTTGAATTTCTGTTTCGATTTTAAAGATTCTCATCAAACTTCATACACTAATACAAATTTTCATGTTGCATTACTAATATACACTTGGTGGGGCATTCATGTCCTATGGATATATTTCTAGTTTTAAGTTGATTTTAAAACTATATTGAATCTATATGATCCCCTACTCATTCTAAAGTTTCCTCATCTTCTTTCAATCTTACTGAAAGTTGATTTTTTTTTTTTTGGAGGGGGGGGGGGTGCTTTTTATGAATGATTCTGGTACATATAAGTTTGTGTCATGTATTTTCTGTGATTGAAGGATTAAAATTCAATGTACCAGCAATATAAAAAGAAATAATAATTATATAACACTCAAAATCAGCAAAATTGTACCTTGCCAAAATTAATGGCAGTAGAACTATAGTTAAACCCTAGCACTGGAAGCTCTCATGAACAGCAAGTCAGAATAATTGGCCTAAAATATATTTTAAAAAATTCAAATACATGTACATGTATAAGACTAAACCAAAACACAATAACTACTGAATTATGGCTTTTATGTTTGAATGCAGTTTCTTTTTGAGACTCAAAAAAGAGGTATGGCCTTCATGTTTGAATGCTTTTGGAGATATATAATATGGCCTTCACATTTAAATGCTATTTCTTTTTTCAGATATGGCCGTCATGTTTGATTGATAGTTTCCTTAATGAAATAGCTTTTATGATTATTCTCGCTCATCTGCCATTTTGATTGTTGTTCAAGGTTATGTTTACGCTTGTTAAATGGTTTGGTTTAGGTTCAAAAGTACCAACTGTAAATGCTTTCATACATGAAAAATGCCTTTCATATTGGAAGATTTCCCAGTGTGAGCTGTGTTGTAATGTATGTTCAAGAAATATCAAGATTATGCCTGTGTTTCATTCACAAATTCATGTGTTCAGGAACCAGACTTTTTCTGTTTACAGAAAAAAAATTATTAATAAGCTTATTGACAGATACATGTATTATTGTAATGGTATGGGCCTTGGATATTAGTCTGGATAGCTCAGTCGGTGGAGCGCCTAACTAGTGATGGAGGGGTCCCAGGTTTGGGCTGTGGATATTAGTCTGGATAGCTCAGTTGGTAGAGCGCCTGACTAGTGATGGAGGGGTCCCAGGTTTGGGCTGTGGATATTAGTCTGGATAGCTCAGTCGGTAGAGTGCCTAACTAGTGATGGAGGGGTCCCAGGTTTGGGCTGTGGATATTAGTCTGGATAGCTCAGTCGGTAGAGCGCCTGACTAGTGATGGAGGGGTCCCAGGTTTGGGATGTGGATATTAGTCTGGATAGCTCAGTCGGTAGAGTGCCTGACTAGTGATGGAGGGGTCCCAGGTTTGGGCTATGGATATTAGTCCAGAAAGCTCAGTCGGTAGAGCGCCTGACTAGTGATGGAGGGGTCCGATATTCAGTCTCGATCTAGCCATATATTAATTTCTGCTTTCCTTGTTACATTACTGTAGGGACTTGGAGAACTCTCAAAATTAGTCAAAGAGGAATAACTCTGTTATACATGTAGATAGGTAACTGTGATAAAGCTAAGTGCACTGTAGTAAGCATCTGCCTAAATAAATATGTTATTACCCATCAGTACCTTTGAGTGGCAGCTAGAGAAGACTGTTGTTTAGCACACTGTCAGTCCAAACAATTTTTCTGTTTTTCCTTTTAGACATTGATCAACATTGAGCTGATTTTTGGTATGCAAGTCTACCTTAATGAGCATGATGAGTTACAGATCAAGTTTGTCAATGATTTTTGATGGAATTATGACACTTTGACAAAATTTAGAAATTTACAGTTCTTCCATACTTACATACTTCCATACTTCCAAACTCTTCCTGATCAAATTCACATTTTGTTCCATTTTGTTAATATTTGATGGAATTACAGCCCTTGGCCTCATCACCTTCTATAAATGTCCATTTTTTCTGCCTTAATTTTTACCAGGATTTAGGAACATATGCCAGTAGGGGAATCAGTGTTGCAAATGGAATACTATCAGAATGCTTGTTTTAACTATTTTTCCCCTTCCACTTAACTGAAAGCTTGCTTAGAAAGTAGAAATTACCCTGGTGTAGAAAAAAAATTAATTCTTTAACTATGTTAACTATGGAGCAAACAAAACCTATTAAACCTGTTAATGGACTTCATTGAAATATATACATGTAATAAGAAAGCAGTAGCCTTTGTTAGAAGTTTGGCATAACCATATCTTCAGAATTCATATGTACAACAATGGTAGAATTTATATGTTATGTACAATAGTGTTTCCACGGATTCATTGAGACAATTAAATTTATTTCTGTCAACATCATTAAGATTTATCCGTGTCAGTTCTTTGTGCAACTATCCAGGTACTTTCTCCATTAATTTAATAATATTTCCTTTTTATTAGCTTTAAAAATAGCCCTGAAAATATTTTTTATACCCTCTCTTTCTCTCCTCTCCAGGCTATTTTGGTTGAGAGGTTGATGCAGTTATAATGTTTTCAGCAGGTGCTCTACATCCATCAGATATTTAAGTCCTATTGAATCTGATGTAGACAGGGAACTTTCATTCATTCAGATTTTCTCTAAAGCTTGTGAAAATAAAAACAGAGTTGTTACTAGTGGCTGGTGTATCAGTAATGTCAATTGATGAACAGCTTTTTAATAAATGGTGCTATGAATAGGCATGATGTATGTTTATAAGAAACAGAGGAAGCAATATTGGGCTTTCACTGATTATTACCTTAATTTTTCTGTCTGTGCCTTGGCCTTTGATTATTTACTTTGAGAATGTGTTAACGTCTGGCATTACTGTTTCCTTTCTGGTTCCTGAAGAACTGTTGTCAATTTTCAGAGCAATCAGTAATCAAAGTAATCACCATTGTCTCTGATTGGCTGACACACATTTAACTTGTATCCAACTGGAAGAAATGTCACAAATCATTCTGAAGAAGTTCTTTTCGAGTGATCAGCATTTTGACAGCTTAGACTTCTGAATAGCCAAAATAAAACATGCTGATATTTTTTGTCTAGAAGACCTGTTCTTATTTTTGTCCATTTTTTTTTTTTTTTAGTTTGAAGCACCTAAAATCCCACTTTAAATGATTTAGCTCTTTGCAGGTTTTGAAACACCTACTTGCTTCAAGTTGTTTGTAATTTACTTGTTTCAGATGTATATTATGGCCATTTTGAGTTATTGTAGCTTGAAATTAGTTCAAATCAAGTGCCCATACCTTGATGGAGGCTTATTCTAGAATCCAGACTAACAAAACTCTATCATAGGTACCAAAAAGTACAATCAAGAAGATTCATAAACTGCAGGGCATAGCTAATTCTGAATTCTGTACTGATTTCATAAAAAGAGCAGAGTTATTTATCCATATTAATTCAAACCTCTTGTCCCGAGCTTTGACAGCTACTACAATAGATGTCCATTGGTGTACATTTTATTTCATGATGCATTTGAAGAGCAAATCAGATAGTATACAAATACACTGTACAAGCATCCTGTTTATTTAATTCATGGGCCAGAGTGTGGAATTATAAAAATATATAACTTTTCTTTATACATTAAAATTGTTGTATTTTGGGGGTGCTTTACCAGAAAAAAAGGGGGATAATCCTGTCAAAAGTGGTCAGTATGATAACTTCTTAAAGGAGAAACACACAGGCACTTTACATTATCTATTTTTATAATAGATTCATTGGTATGGTGGATACTACCCATGTAATGCACCTTTTGTACTGTTAGCAATTTAACTTCTGGTTTTGACACAACCCTTTGCTTCAAGGTGTAAAATTCTATTGTTCATTTGTAAAAGTTCTTGCATGGTTCAAAGTCACTGGCAGAAATTGTGTGAAATTTGTAATTAACACAGATGGGTGCCTTAAGTTGCATATACAGTCTGGATATGACTCAAGAATTACACAAGATCAAAGTCAGTGAAATAGGAAGATAGGAAGAAATATGGCATAACATTGTGTCAGTTGTACACAGATAAATTGACATGTGATTGACATTACCTCAATCAAATGTACTTGATTTTGACACAATGAAAAGTACAAGATCAAGATGCAAGGAATAACATTCTTTATTTGATTTTTTTGCAGGAGAAGACCTCCATTGAGGGATCATTATTTGTATATAAAAGGTGAGTGTTTTTAGTGTGAGTGGATGAGGAGATTTAACAGTGGGATTCATTACCAGAGAATGGGGTTCTTCCCTGGGAGTCGCAGATAAGAGAGAGAACGACTGTTACAGGGGGCTGTACTGTACCAATCAGAATGTATAACCTGCACATTGTTCTTATGAATGATGTATTTCTAATTCAAGCTGATTCTCTTATCTTGTCAGAAAAATTAGTTTTTTTATTCAAAAGTGCATGCATACTCAGAAGTACATGTGTATCTGTGGTGTAAAGACATTAAAGTATCATAAATGCAAGGAAATATAAATCTCTGCAACTGCATGTGTCAATTTTTGCAACCTTTGCAATTCATTAAGAAATGCAATAAAATTGCAAAATTTTATCATTAACTTCAGTTTAGCAAATGAAATAGAAGTACAGAACAGCAAAACTGTGGTTTGTGCATTTTAATGAGTTTTCGTTAGGAAATTGTTCAGAACTTGATGAAGATTTGTGTATAAACAGTTGTTTTTTCCTGATCATGACAAGGAGCACACAGCAGAGACCTGTTCAACAGAGCGAACGTTCGCGAGCATTCGATAAAATTCCTTATTCCTCCAACAGAAATGTTCGCGAGCGCTCGCAAACGTTCGCTATGTTGAACAGGCCTCAGGTGTGACTAGTCAGTAGGGGATGCTTACTCCTCCATGGCACCTGATCCCACCTCTGATGTTTTTGAGGTCCATGTTTGCTCTGCTCCTGATTTGTATTGTTTGAATTAACTTTTGAGCTTGAATTCTATTCTTTAGTTTATCTCCATATTTCATTGTATGATATAAAATATTCAAGGTCTTGTCAAGACTTCAGGTCAATATGTCATAGTACAAGGTTGTTTTTTTGATTTGTTGAGATATTAGCCTTTTAGCTCACCTGAGCCAAAGCCATGGGTTGATTGATTGATTGTATTTGTTTTATGTCCCGTTCATAAATTTTTTCACTCAAATAGAGACGTCACCATATACCGATGGTCTTCAAATTTATACCTTTACTCGGCACTTAGCGCCATTGAGCAGTAAGGGATCTCTATTGTGCCAACGCCTGCCGTGACATGGGGCCTCGGTTTTTAAGGTCTCATTTGAATGACCCACAACTTTCACTTTAAATTGCCAAGCACTTAGTGAAGGAACAGTTGCTATCTAATTTTTATTGACCTAGGTCAGTTGAGGACAGGGCTTGAACACACAACCTTCCAATCACGGAACGAGCGCTCTACTGAATGAGCTACCATGATGGTCCAAAGCCATGGATATGTATATTATATGAATAATACATAGATATGAATTGGACAAGGCCATCACCAGAAGAGGATCTGGGAGGTATACCCCCGCCTCTGAGCTAGAAATTTTGTTGTAAATGGGTACATTTTGGACAGTTCTGGTACATTCTTCAAGTCATTTTTTCACATATGAAATAAATGAAATCCAGCAGCTTAAGAGGGGGAGGGGTGTTGCAGTCACCCACACATACCCTGTTCCAACAGCCTGTAGTAAGACGGTTTCAAGTTTGTGCAAATTATGACTCCTGGGGGTATGGTGGGACCACAATAGATAGTTTTCAATAGACATGATTTTAGCAAGAGTTATTTCCAGTTGGTCGCCATGTTGGAGGTATACAAGCCGGAATTCCTTCATTATTCAACCAATTTAAACTTGTCATGCTGGGCAATTGGGTAAAGATAGCACAATTTTTCTTACAAATTTATGTTAACACAAGCTTTCTTTAATTCGTAATTTTATGATATATTTAATGGGTGTTTTAAAGATTTTTGCCCTTATATTTATGCCATACATTGGCAAGTTTAGGAAAATATCTATAATTTGTTTTCAAGAATTAAGGGTTTTGAATAGTGCTGTATCATATACAAGCATCTTCGGGTACTGCAGATTCAAGATTGTTCATATCATGGCTTCCAGGGGTAGGGTGGGGCATATAGTAAATCAGTGTTTTACATATAGGAATATATAGGGAAAAATCTTCTTTTCAAGAACAGCAGGACCATGACTAGTCATATTATTTATATGCAAGCATGCTTAGGTATTGCAGATTTATGTTTTTAAAAATCATGGCCATCGAAAGGGTGAGACCATATTCGAAAAGGTGAGACCACAATAGGGGATCACAATCTTTAAAAATCCATCATCAGATTCAAGTGTGATCAAATCATACCCCCACCCCCACTCCCCACTCCCTGGTAGGGTGGGGTCACAATAGGGGGTCAAAGTTTTACATACATAGAAAATTAATGAAAAAAATATCTTTTCTAATATCATGGCACACTTAATAATATTAATTTGCAGAAATTCCCAGTGAATTCAGTTTATTTTCTTCTTTTTTCCCCATATAATGGAATCTGAGGTATGATAGGGCTAATTTTACATAATGCAGGAAAAAACAGGATAGAGGAAAAAGACTTTTCTGGCCAGATTTTGTCTGCATGGAAGATAAAAAATATGGCAACATTCTTGAGGCTATGTAAGAAGGGGACTGGTACAGTTGTCATTGACAGTTGTTTGCTAAGTGTTGTAAGAATGCATATGTTGACAGAATTCAGCTGCATCTCCATGTGTAAGAGCTAGGCTGGTTTACTAAGTATAGACACTCTTTGCAAGACAAGAAATTATGGAGCACTGAAGAGAGGGCTGCTTCTGCCAAGACTCCAGAAACACATGGTATGGTTTATTATTTTCTCTAGTGATTTGGTTCTGGAAGAATAATTAACGCGATTGACTAGAGTGCCAGATTATACCCCAGTACACACAGTATGCGTTTTTGTTCTTAACCACCAATACAGGTAAATGTTTCATCTATGACGAATAGGAGAAAATGAGGTCATATTTAAGAGCCAAAAACTATTGGTAGATATATCGATTGCTTGGCAAATGACAGTGTTTGCCAAGAGAAGAGATTTGAGTTATATATATTATGACCAATGTTTTGGTATGTCTTTGATGGAATTACAAATTCCAGACATAACCACTCATTTAATGCATCACATTTATCCTGTAAATCCATTTATATAAGTTATTGAAGAGAGAAGATTTGTACATAATGTGTTCATTTCTCACCACAATTAATTCCTCAGATTGCTTCAGTAAGATATAACAGATCTATATGCCCAATGTCTCTCTATTGCAAGCACTTGTCTTCATGGTGACAAAGATTGGTAGTACATATACATGTACTCAGAAATTCCTGGAGGGGTTTGGAATCTGAAGGGAGATAGCTGCCCCCGGAGACAGTCGGTTATAAGCCCCCCATTGGCAAAGTGTGAGAATAAGCTTAATGTATAGTGGCAGCATCGCCTCAATTCTGCACGCAGTGCTGTGTTTAATATTCATACTTATATACAAGGCATGCACTCTGTGGTCTGTCATTAATTAAGTCAGATTTTCCTTTGCTGAGATTATTGGATTTATTTTAATAACAAAAGTTCTAAAGCCATAATCTGTGCATATTAAGACAGGCATATGTCTAGTTTATAAACATGTGTTGCTTTTTTTTTCTTTTTTGTATGATGGCTACATTCTTTGGTATCTGGAAATTTTTACATCACTTGAAGATACAATTATATTGCTATGTAAAAAAAAAATGACTTTTTGATACACCTTTAATATTTTTTCCCATTCATCTGAGCACCAGCTGCTACTATTCTATGTAAAGAGAAGTGTTATGTAACATTACAATGCAGAAAAAAATCTATTTAAAAATCAATGTCCACCTAGAATACATACAACCATCTACAGCAAGTGCATCATGAAGTACCAAAATAAAAGGTATTGTCTTTCCGCTGTTACCTCCACCCCTTGTTGGGGTCACAGAGAGGTCAAGAGATGTTAAAGGGACAGTGATCTGTCCATCACAGGGCCAGAGGTATCCATAGTAACCCCAGTAATTAATGGCAGACCCCCGAGGTAGAACTTACCTGCAATATGTCAGACAATGTGTAACCTCCATGCTGTCTGGTCAATGTCACATTCTGGTGTTTGATTCCATTGATCCAGTGATTTGGCAATAAAATTCCAAGAGCTGAGAAATGTATCACACACAATGCTATGAGATATATGTCGAGGGGAAACAGCAGTATTATGTCGGCTAGAGCAGCTAACTATAACTATAGTCGACAAATGACTTTGAAGTAAATTAGCGTGTAGGTATAGACACCAGCCGAGCTGAAGAAACAGCTGTAACTCACACAAACCAAGCTGACTCCTCTATGTCTTCCCCTCTTTAACCCTAAGTATGTAAACTGCATGTTTGCATTGGAAAAATTGTGTTGCAGTATTGTCAGTTCGAGCTCTTATCGAATGTTCAGGGAGTCAAGAGTTTACATAACAGAAGCAGGTTTTTCGGATTCCAACAAATGGAAAACAATTAATCAGCACAAATATTTCATGATTTTTGGGGCATTCAATTCATCAGGCACAGGCAAAGATGTAGTTGAAGTGTTTCTAGACTAATTCATTTAAAAACTTTCATCATATTTTTCTTTTTTCTGCAATCCTGATTTTAAAAACCCTTCTGCTGGTCGTAGGGGGTGATTATCAGTCAGTTTTTGTACACTAGCATGCTTACAATGATTCTGACCTGCAGCATTAATATCTTATGTACGAGATTTTTGTGGAAAAAAAACACTGTAAGGATAGAATTTTTTGTCTTTTCTCCAAGTAGATAAGATAATTGTCTTAATATTTGAACAACATGATCTCAAAAATGATGTCAGTAATCCATAACTTTTTGTTTCCTTTCAAAGTAAGTTATAAAAACTTATTGAAGAATACAGGAAAGGGACCATGGTGAGTAAACAAAAAAAGGTTCATAAAAAAATGTCTGCCAAGCTGCTCAGATTTTAGTCAATATTCTTATTACAGTTAAACATGGTTATAATGAGCTAACTCTTATAGCAAAGTGATTTTCATTCCCGGTGGCTTTAACATATATTGTGAACTTAACGGATAAAACGTATTACATTAAAATTGAAGCAAAATTGTTTGTCCCTGGCACAGTTCTTCTTTATAAGTGTGTTTTACTGTTTATTGTTAAGATTATTGAATGTTTCCCACCAAAGTATGTATTACAAAGAAATAACAACACTATTAATGCTTTAATGTCACATTTCCATGGGTCAATTATTTTTTATGGTTTGAGAAAAAAATGAAATTTTGGAGTTATTTCATGTAGTTTTGGGGGAATTTCATGGTTTGGGAACTGAAGTATTATTCATTTGAAATATTAACATGTCATGGTGAACATAAATTCATAGGTTTTTTAACCACAAAAACAATGAAAATTAACACACACACCCTCCCCTAAAAATTAGTGATTTCACAGAAGACTGTTGGCATTTTGCTAAAAAAAAAAATTGAGCAAATGTTTTAGAAAAAGCCCTTTTTAAGTAACCTGAGTCTGCCTGAGACAATCATGTGACCTATTGTTATCTTTTTTTTGGCAAACCAATTCTGGTATATAGCATTTATGGTGGAATGGAAATAAAAATTATGAATTTCATGGTCTTTGTCTCCCTGGGGCCTGAGAGTTGGGACCAAAACCATTTGAATTAATGCAATATTCTTTAAAAATCTTCTTTAATCCTGGATATCAAGCATTTAAAACTTAGTATGATTCTAATGAGCAATGAGTCCTTTACCAAAATTGTGAAATTCATGGCCACTTAGTTCAGGGGTTCAGATGCCAGGGCAGGGCTAAGTTGTCATACATTGATCTTCTAAAATCTTCTTTACTCATGGACATCTAGCAAGCAAACTATTCACCTGTTTATAATAAATTCTCAACCTTTTACCAAAATTGTGAAATTCATGGCCCTGGGGTTCATGGTCCAAGCATTAGGGTTGGGCTTAGTTGGTTATATGTTGAAAACACTGTGACATTACATCAGTAATTTTTCAAGATCTTCTTCTCTACTCATTAGACATTAAAAAAGGCAGGTTACATGATTATAATGAACACTTCGCCCTCTACCAAACATTTGTGAAATTCAGAGCCCCAGATTCCATGGTTCAGACCACAGGGTTGGCCTAAGTTGGTGAGATATGATAAATTCTTTACATGTCTCTGAAAATCTTCATCTCTACTCATGGACATTAAACATGCAAACTGAGTACATGATTATGATAAAAACTTAGCCATTGAAAATTTGTTCTCTACTTAAGGACTTCTAGCAGATAAAAAAAATGAAGTAATTATTATGAACACTTAACCATCAAACAAAATCTTGAATTTTATGGCCCCTGGCCCATGATTAGGCTTCAGGATGGGGCAAAGTTGGTCATATTTTGAAAAAAAGCATTACAGCTTTGAAAATATTCTTTACTCATGGACATATATCAGGCAAAGTGTTTGTCTGATTACAATGAATACTAGACCCTTTTCCAAAATAGTATCATTGATACCTTCTATATCCAGCGTTCATGCCCCAGGGTGGGGCAAAGTTGTCCATATATTGAAATTTATTATTCAATGTATTCCTGATCTACTCTGAGACCAGTGCATGTATATATTATTTGTTACGTTTTCAACAATCAGTAAATTTTCTTTGTCACACAAGTCCAGACCAGTTCCAGGTGGGGCCGAAGGGCCATAGCCTGAGAAACTCATCTTTTCATGTGACTGTCAAGGCCCATGGGCCTCTTGTTTGTCAATAGAATCTTTACCCCAACATATTAATTTTTTTTTATTTGCTAGAGGTATTAGAGGTATTAAAAAAAGTAAATGACAACATACTATTTTAATACCAGTTTCTTCACTCTTCATGTACAGGGATTAATGCTGTAAATCGAGTGTGATGGATTTTTTTCTGTATAAAATAAATGCTCTTGTATTCAAGTTTTTCACAAACATCTACATGTAAATAGATTCTCCTTTGCAATTTGCTGAAAATAATCCCAGAATGATATTCCCAAAGTTATTGATTTAATTTTATCTCAATTTTTTTTTTGCATGAAGCATTATGAAAATTAATGTTTGGATATATGAAAGATACTTGAAAGTGTAATCACTACATGTGGAATGCTCTGTGAATATTTTTTGTGAACATTGACCTTTCGTATTTTTACTAGACAGATGTAGTATTGTTATGAATCAAAATTTGGTCAAGTTTTAGACTGCTATCTTCTTTTTGAGATGATTAAGATAAAAAAGGAGTACTATTTTTTTAAAAGCATTCAAACTTTTACTTTATCTGCAGCTCCATGGTTTTAGAGGCCACTTACTTGCCATTTACTCAGAAATGGGTAAGAGGAATGATGGTGGCAGCTGTGCCAGATCATTACTGTACTGATTTATTTTACTTTGGCAAATAAATTTTGGGAAGTATCACCACATCCGTCTGTGTCAGTACATTTTTTTTGTGGCCAGAAATTATAATATTGATCAGTTATTTTTAATTTTTTCAAACTCTTTAAAAATCCTGCATGCTGTCTAAACATGTACACCTGATATTTTTAGAAGTCATGAGTTTTTCAGGATATCTTGGTACATAATAAGGAGAGTGAAATTCTCATCTTGACATAACATTGAAATCAAAAAGAAACTTTTAAAGATTATACTTAAGTTAATACACAGGTACAAAGGTCTTAACCCTTTAACAAGGTCAAGGTCATGGGGTAACTATAAAATGGAGAAACTTGAAAATATTGTTTGATTCAGAGAATGTCCTGACCCTAACCCAGGGTAAATAAGGTCAAGGAAACTAAAAAATGTAAAATTCTTGTCATTCTCATTCTGGCCTTGAACATAACTAAAGTGGAGAAAATTAATAAAGATTACTGGTACACTAGGCACAAACTTTGAAGGTTGTTTGTGACCAAAGTATGTGTAACAGCCCTGGACCATGGTCATTTGGACAAGGTTATTGGTATTGAAGTGTTAAATTCTTGTTTTTATCACAATTTTTTGTTGAATTAATTTCAGAAAATCATCATAGGAATGTCCTGAACCTGAACAAAGGTTCTTTAAATAAGGTCAAGGTCATATATGTCAAAAATGTAAAATTCTTTGAAGGTCTCAAAAATGTAAAATCTAAATGATAAAAATTTGCATTGGAGGTACATCAGGAGGTCATACTTTGCACAAAGGAGAGGAGGTCTTGATTTGTTTATATAAGGTCAAGGTCACATGAATCCAAATTTTAACGTCTCTGGGGAGTGGAGTGACTTTTAATGCAAGGACTGTGGATGGTCATATTTTATACTAGATACAAAGGTTGCTCACAACCACCAGAGTTAAGCTAATTGTTACAACTTATTACAAATTACATTTCATTACATGTCAACAAGATTCAGGCCATAAGAATTTGCAGTATAATATTTTCACAATGGCAGAGTTTTCTAAAGCTATTTAGTATGCCTAATTTTGGTAATGTCTCAAGTTTTGAAATACCATATATAGTGTTATAGGAGTCAATTTTTAATGCTAGAAAGGAAAGTAAATTGCCATCCAGATTATTTTACAAACTATTATTTCATATTACTTCATATACTTTTTCAAAAAGAATTGAAATTTATAGCCCCCCCCCCCCCCCCCCAATGATTTTGTACCATGTATCAAACCAACAAAAAATTGTAACCATGGTGAACCGTTTCTGTCCTACCAAAAGACTTCCTTTAAATGAAATTGAAAACCTGGAGAAAAAAATATGAAAGAAAAAAATTCTTGTTATGACAATTGCTAACTCCATATCTGAGGTTGTTTCACTTAATAAACCCTCTGCGTGAACACAGGGTCTGCTTTGTGTTGTATGCCTGAACCCACTTCTCTTTGAGAGGAAGCTCTATCAGTTTGCTTTTTTTTTCTGTCACAGGTCGGCTTCTCCAAACAACGGCTTTATGATTCTGAACCGACTGGGGTTGAACAACCTGATAGAGCCTATCACAAAAGATTTGGAATTCCAGCTGCAGGACCCTTTTCTTCTGTATCGCAATACTAAAGGTCAGTGTTTGGAGCCAATACGTCACTCAGCAACCAGATATATAGCAGTGGCAAAAAACAGCAGAGTATTGAGTTTGTTTTCTCAAACTTTATACAGATTGGACTTTTTGTCTTCTTATGCATGCAAAACCTCTTTTAATATTACTTTGATAAAGAAATATCCCTGTTTTATTCTATTTATTTTTATTTACAACTATGTCATGTGTTTTCACTTCAGCGTAAATACCATGTGTGTTTGTCAGAAATGAAGGTAGGGGGAATACGTACACACTATAAGAGAAGTTTTTTTTCAGTTGATGGCATAGATCAAGGTTCAAGGTCATCCTTAATATGAAAACTAATTACAAGTGATATAACTAAAGCTTATACCCAAAACACCTTTTAAAATCTATGATCTCTAAAATATGTAGAAATTTTGATGAAATTTTATCTTACCAGAATCAGATCAGTTATGTTAAATATTTAATATTGAATAGTGACATGTGAAGGTGATAGACAGACAGGTGTCTGGTTTCAATCGTATCTCTATCTATGTGATAAGAATGAAAACCATCTGTTATGATAAGATAGATATAGAACGGTAAATCACTCTGACCACCTGACCACCCAGCATACAGCCAGACCTGAGGGAAGTCAATCACATAGGCTCAGAAACACTGAACACTATGTTATTTAAACTTTCATTGTATGAAGATATTTAAAGCAAAAAAAAAAAAAATTAATCAAAATTTCAAGGAAATAGTCTTCAATTGGTTTCATAAAAGTATGTCATTTCCATTAACAGGTCCTAAACAATTAATAAATTACATCTAGTCCAACAAGTGCATAATCATGGTGTTTCATTGGTCTGCATTGGGTCTCTATTGGTTACATAATTATATGATTTTATCTGTTAAAAAGATTTCTGATTTTCGTCATTTGAATTATCCAGAAAACTTGCTGACGCCATAAGGAAACATTATTTTCCCACCTCTCTGATATATAACTGTCCTGCTGGTAACTCTGTCGGTGAAAAATTTCTAGTTCATTTCAGCGAGTCCTAAACACGTGGAATAATCACTTTTTTTAAAAACGTAAATGTTATTTTGGTTTGATTTCAGCAATCTATGGTATCTGGTTCTATGATAAAGATGAATGTGCTCGGATTGGACAATTAATGAATAGGTAGGTAAGAAAGGAAGGACTAGAGTATATGTTATCATGTGATAGAATCAGACTGAATAATTAGTTTTCTTCACTATCAGAAGTCTTGTCTGCACAACATATGCTTATATGTGTTCTCAGTAGATAGAATGTTTTGATACCAGCTCTAAAAAATTGTCTGTAGGTGTTTAACGGAATTTGTTTAATCAAGAAACTGGATATAAATTATGAAAACAACATTAATTTACATGAACAAATTGAGCGAAAAAAATTCTAAGTTAATATGAAGCAGAAATATCTGCAATTCAACGCAGATAAATAACACATTTTAAGAAAGAAGAGATGTTTATAAGAGAAACTGTCATACAACAAAATGATTTAGTTTTCTCCTATAACCTGTTTACCAAGAAACATTTTTTATGAGAAATGAAGAATTTTGATAATTTTTTTTTTCAAAGGAAAGAAAAATATTTTTAGCATAGACTTCTTTGAAGAACTGTATCTTAACTATATAACTAACTACATGAATATATATATATCTCATTTTCTTGCTCAAAAACATGCTTAATGTCTCAATTAATTCTGTAAAAAGAGAAAGTTTCTACATTATATAGTATTTAATATGCATGATTTTATTTAATTAAAAATTATCTTTTATTAATCTGCATTGACTATCATTGAAGAAAAGCGGCACATTAAAAACAGATGCTCCACATGTGCTGCAAGATGTAGCAGAAACTCGGTGTTTTCTGTCAAAACATGCAGCAAAGCTGGTGTAGCAAAAAATCCCATTACAGAATAGAAGTTCACGTGTAGGAAAGAAACTAAGTTAATCTCTAAATTAACTTAAAATGATGAATACTTGTTTAACAGCAAAATGTTAGAAATTGACAAAGATTAAATTAGAATTTTGTTTTCTTAATACCTTATTTGTCCATTTTAGAAGTTCAGGAGTAATGAAGATAAATTTCATTATATGACTAACTAAGCCCCACCTTGGGACCTGGGGCCCGTTTTACAAAAGAACTTACAATGAAGACCAAAAATTTGAGGTGATTGTAAAATCTTGTACAATTAATATTTCTATTACAATTTGCCAGCATAAATATATCTTTCTAAATTCTTTTTCAAAAGATTAAAACCATTGTCATATTAACGAAAAAAGGAAAGTTATTTGCAAAATTACATTTTGGTCTGGGTCGTATAGTTCTTTTGTAAAACTTGGCCCTGGTGCCTTGGTCCATCGAATTTATACAGTAAAAAATGTTATAATGAAGTGCCAGGAATGGATGATTTTGCTTTGTTATAAAAGTTATTTGTTATTTCCATTAAGGTCACAATAGATTTTAAAGCCACTGGCATTGAAAATCACTTCGCTGTAAGCATCAATTCATTGTAAGCATGTTCGCTGTAAGGGTGATTTACTGTATTTTCTGTTGAGGGCCACTGGTCCTTTTAATCATGCAAAAAATCTCTATATGTCCATTGGTATCAGGTCTGATTTACCTTAGACATGGTCATGTTGGTCTTAAAATACGTAAAACGGTAGTGTTCTGCTAGAATCTGGTAGTCATTTCACGTAAATAAAATTTTGTGGTATAATGCAACCAGAGAAATTGATTTGTTACCTTTCAAAGCTCAAATTGCAAAAGTTTCCAACCATAGAAAATATCCGTTCTACGGTATAATCAACAAAGCCCTATCCTGGGACCTGAACTTTGAGTCCACAGGCCCGGAAAATTTCAGTAAAGGGCTTAATGTTAATTGTAAGTAAGCAAACAGTTTGTCTGCCTGGTGTCCATGAATGAATAAGATTTTCAAAGGTGTAATAATTATACTGTAAAATCACTTATTTTCTTCAACCAAACATGCTACAAGTATCCTTGGTTGAAAAGGGATTCAAGTTTCTTCAAGTGAAGGGCCACACCTTCTTTCAAGGGGAGTTAATTAAGAATTCGTAAAACTTTAATGACATCTTTAAAACACTTCTGATGAAGAACTTGATGGCATCTTTTAAAAAATCTTAAGAAGAACCATTGTACCAGAAAAGATGAAACTTATGTGAAAGCTTCATTACATATTGTAAATTCAAGTTTGTTCAAATCATGACACCCCCCCCCCCCCCAGGGGAGGGTGGGGCAACAATAAGAGATGAAAGTTTTATATAGGAAAATATATTTAAAAATCTTCTTCACAAGAAAATCAGCCATATTTATATGGAAGCATCTTTAGGTATTTGTTCAAACCGTGGCCCCTGGGGGTGGGGGGCACAACAGGAGATCAAAGTTTTACATAGGAATATTTAGGAAAAAAATCCTCAAAAATTTCCTCAACAGCAAAACCATGATTAGTCATATAAGTTTAGAAGCATCCTCAGGTAGTATAGATTCAAGTTTGTTCTCATAATAAAACAGGAAAAGAATCATCTACAGAACAACTGTGCCATATAGATTATATTGATATTGAAGCATCCCAAAGTTGTGTGGATTCATTGATGGGTCTTTTATGAAGTTAGAGAAATTTTAGCTTAACTGTGTAATTTTCAAGAAGATTGTCAAAGTTTTGTTATATACCGGGTATTTGATTGTATTACCAACTAAGCCTTATCCTGGAAACCTAAAAACTGGACCTTAAAACAGGAATTTTAGGATTTCAAAAAAGAGTTATGCACTCATTTTTTACATTTAATCTGTTTGCCCACATGATGTCCTATGTCATTGGCCAATGCACCCTGGTTTCACTAGGGTGGCTGGTTGTCTTTTATAAAAGATTTTCAAAGAAGTAGTGAATTTCAATGTACATAACAAATTTAGCCCCACCCTGGGATCTTAACCATGGGTTTAGGGGCCATGAATTCAACAATTTTGGTACAAGCCTATATATTCATTATAATTTCCCTCTTACTTGTCCAAGAGATATTCGTTATAATCATGTAAATTTCCCTCTTACTTGTCCAAGAGATATTCATTATAATCATGTTAATTTCCCTCTTACTTGTCCAAGAGATATTCATTATAATCATGTTAATTTCCCTCTTACTTGTCCAAGAGTATGGAAGAAGATTTTAGAAGATACATATACATGTATTACATGTATTTTTAATATATGATCAATTAAGGGGGCCAACTGGGGTTTTCATTGCGCAATACTTCATGCAGCATAGTAAAATAAAGCGTATTTACTCTTTTAAAGCAACTATTTTTACATAATTTATAAAAAATAACAAATTTAGGAAATATTAGGTTAAAAAATCTAATTAAGTTTTAAATAACTGATTTTTTTAACGATTTTTCAGTTGATGAGTAGAAAGACGTCGTAATAGTGTGTTTTTGACGTTATGAATAACCGAAGTTCTTTAAGCGGGGTCATTAATTATGCCATAAAATAAAAAGTATAAAATATATTCTCTTGAAATTTTAAACATAGGAAATTGAGAATCTAGCAATCATTGGTATTATTTTTTAAGTAAATCCGTGGTATCTGTCATGTTTTGTTGTACTCCATAAAAACCGGAAAATATCATGGATTTTGACATTTTGAGATGCCCCCCCTGGAAACCAGACGGTAGAATTTTGTGTTTCTTGCACAGAATGTACAATATAGTATTACTCATCAAATAATAAAATTTGAGCAAAAAGTCTATTGTAGTATTTGTATAATTTGCTCCGAAGTGCGAAAAAATGGTATTTTCCTATATAATCCTATAGTAAATGTACCTGTATTTTGAGACGGTCCCTCAAAAATAACCAGACGGTAGATTTTCACTAAACTTGGCATGTATACTGAAGTCAATGTAAGGTATATATGGTATAAAATTAAAGAGTTTCTCTATAGTAGTTTTCACACAATAAAACCCCAGTCGGCTCCCTTAAGCCTCACCGTAGGGTCTGAACCTTGGACCCAAAGGGTATGAATTTCACAATTTTGGTAAAAGGTTGAGTACTAACTATTTAGAATCATGTAAACAGTCTGCTTGCTAGATGTTCTTGTGTAAAGAACAGGATATTTCAAAGATATAATGCTTTTTCAACATATGACCAACTAAGCCCCTACCTGGAGCCTAAACTCTGACCCAGGGGCCATGAATCTCACAATTTTGGGAGAGGGATTGGAGCTTATTATAATGATGCTTCATGAATTAGCTAAATTCTCATATGCAGTTGTTAGCTCTAATCTGAGAGTGATGTCAAATATAAAGTACACAATATAAAAACACTGATTTAATGCAATATTTCTCAGTTTCATCTTGACCTGCAGTTAGGCATAATTTCAAATTTACGCTAACATAGTTATCTGAATGTTCGGAAATTTCCTCTTTGCAGTATATAATTGATATTAAGTGGGATTTTGTTTAATTTGCAGGTGATCAATATCTTTCCTGCACATTTTTTTTCAATACATATATATCTACATATTGATTGGAAAGTGGAGGGTAATTTTAAAATCAATTTAACATTTTTGCATTAAGCTTAAAAGATTGGATCACATGCAAAATTGATGAAATTTTCTCTAAACCTGGGTTTGTTTTTATCAGCCTATTACAGCTGGCGATTGATTATCATCGAGCCAAATCCGACATGAGACAACGTAGGGCCTCCGAGTCAGACAGCATGTTGGAAAAAGAAGAAAGCTTACCAAAAAATGTAGACATTTTACAGATGTTGTCAAAAGCTCAGCATGAATATGACAAGGTAAGTTAAGTCTGTCAACTGACAGAACAGATGTGAACAATTGTGACTGTATAGACCTTATCAATTCTATCTCATTTACTGTTCTGTTTGTTATGTAATCAATATTTAAATTTTGCCATAGTCAATTTTTTTCATGGTAATGAACACTTGTGAAATAAACAAAAATAAAATTGCTGCAAATGCTTGCTACAAACACTATTGATTACCAACAAGATGTGAAAATGTTTAATTGATCAGGTGAGCATTGTATTCCATGAGCCTGTTGTTTTGGCTATCCTATAGAAAGGTTCTTTTTTATTTCACATATTCCAGTCCAAATGTGGTAGCTTGCCAAAGGCAAGGGATCCAAAACCTTTGATAGATAACCCCAATGCTTCAGCAACTAAGGCTTCAAATTTACTCAGACCCACACCACTCAAGGTGGCTGAAGTTAATGATGAAGGTAAGAATTATTCTAACATAATGTGGGATGGGGGGGGGGGGGGGGGGCGACAATGGAGAGCCAGATCCTTTCACAGAGATATCAACATTCATATTACAGAACTTTGTGCACAATAATGTAGCACAGCCAAGTGAGTTTCATTTGAAATTTCAGATGTGAAAATCACATGAAGTTCAGGTGACATTCAGTTTATGCTCTTTCTTTTGGTTACCCACGCACATTTGGGGGGGGGGGGGGGGCTAAGGGGTGGAGTAATAACCAACAAAATTAGAGGTATACTGTGAGCACTAAGCTCACAAAATGATACTCCTATTTCCCAGTTGAGTATACATAATGGCAAATTGTATTCCTTGGCAGTATGTAAATGAAATTCTGTGAAAGTTCTATTGAACTTCGTTCAGGGGTTAATGAGGAGATGCATTAACAAAATGGGTACCCCTTTATAGATTATTATGACAAAGTTCATGTTTTACTATTGGAAATTTCATACATCTGTCTGAAGTAAGAAATAAAACACACAATAATTCTGTAATAAAGATTCTGTGAAAGTCTCATTAAATTTTATTCAGTGGTATAGGAGGAGTTGCGGTTCAGAGATGGGTAGCCCATTGTCAAATAAAGAATGGCAATGTCCATGTTTTGCCATGGGAAACTCCAAATATGTATCCGATGGAAAAGTATAATAGGAGGTGCAAATTGCCACTGTGTAAAAAGTTTTGTGAAAGTTTCATAAAACTGCATTCAGTGTTGTAAAAGGAGTTGCAGATAAGGGATGGATACCCCAAAGTGTAAAGGATAGAAGGGCATACAGACACCCCCATCACTATATACCCCCCCCCCCCCCCCCCACACACACACACACACTTTTCATACTCCTACAAGAGTACTACATAATAGCAAACTGTTTACATGATTATTATACAGCAGTTGGAAGTGCCCCAACTTTTTTTTTGCCTGATAACAAAAGTTATACAGAAAGTTCATATTGTATTATTTTATCTTATTGGTAATTTAAAAATTCTTTCAAAGTTTTGAAACTCATGTATTCTAGGTCCAAAGTTAACCTTCATAATAACACTCAGGTAACCATGAAGGCCAATGGGCCTTTTTTAATGTGAGTGTCATGCAAAATTTTTTAGTTATTTACTTGAGGCTCATATGTATACCTGTTTCAATGGTTTTTGTTGGTATGACAAGATAAAACATTTAATTGTTCTTTACCAGGTGGAGGGGAACCAGACAGGACTGGGGCTCCAACAGCGCCCCCTGCCACAGCCCCTGCCACGGGTCCTGGGACTGCACCAATTAGTCTCGAAACCTTATTCAGGAATGCTAGTCTACAACAGCAGAGTGGCAACAGACAAGATCAACCCCGCCCACAGCCATTTCACAGGTCAGTCAGTCCTTGTCCATGACCATTTCAAGGGTCCATCAGGACTTTCCACTATTATTTGCAAGTTACTAGTCAGACCCCTCAGCAACTTAATGTAAGCTCAGACTGGTGTTTTTATACTTCTCTTAGGTTTACTAAAAGTGGAATAACGTGGCATTTAATCTGAAATTAGAGCTACAAAATCTGTGTGTTCCTTGATTGTATTCTTATAATTTAAATTTATTATATATTTATATATTGTTTGCTATCTAAGATAATACTAAATGTAAATATATTCTAGGTCTGTGTCTATGACAGAAGGGGATACTAAATCTCAAGAGTTATTACGCCACATTATGTCAAGTGGTTCAATGGTGGAGGACATAGAAAGGCAGCAACATCGTGACGTACCCCCCAAACCCCCCTCAGCTCCCTCACTGCAGACACTCCCACAAAACTTCAAGTCAGACCAAAGAATATCACCGCCTAATAAAGTATCAGAGAGGGAGAACAAGGGAGGCCCTGTTAATACTAAATATGACCTCTCACCTTATTTGAAAATGAATGAAAAAGAGGCAGATTGTGGAAGTGGGGAGGATAAAGTGAGAAGGAAGTCCCCCGCTGTTCAGGAGACGGAGGGGACAGAGAGTTTACTGACACCAGCAGCATTACAAACATCACTGTCCTTAAGTGCAGAAGTGGTATACAGAATATAGAACTCATTACACTGTAGATTCCTTATTTTTCGTGAGCACTTATTGTCGCGAAATGCCTCTTTAACGTCAAATCGCGAGAACAGTAATTCGTGAGTAGACAGTTGATCAAGAGATTTTACATTGATTTCAGCACCATAAAAATAAAAAAGAGTAATTTTATTTTGCAAGTGGTGCTTGTCGCGAAATTATGCAATATTTAATTTGTCGCATTTATTTAGGAATCTACAGTAATTGCATGGAAAAAGTAGGCTGTTCTGTTTCATCAGAAATTTGAATAAAGCATGCACAAGAATATTTCATTATAAGCATAGAAAATTTCCTGTTTAAGTACACATATGCAGTTACTGAGTGGCTATTGTTATTGAGTGTTTGATGTATGATACATGTATTTCAGACATCTGGTTTATCTCGGTTACTGCCTCAGAACCCGGATGTTTTACTGACCCCAATGGCATTTACTCAGTCCCCTAAACCAGGGTCACCTGCCACCACTGCATTATGTAAGTCAGGTAACCTCAACAAGAGAGAGAGGCTTTATCATAGTGCCAATACCTGAAATCCTATAGTGTAAAAGTTTCAGTTCCACTGACTGGCAGTTTCTGCTCTGTTATGAAGTTGTCATAAAATGCTAATTTTATTATTTTTCATGTTATAATTTTGTAATGTTTTGAAAGTCATAAATTGTAAGAATTTTATGCAAGTTTTAAGACCAGAATAGATAAAAATTTAAAGGTATGTCATTATGAAGGGAATATCTCTTTATATATTCCAACCCTGCAAGATGAGTACTCTAGTGCTTATTTTATTGAACCATCTGGATAAGACATATGATACACTATAAATTTTTGTTTTTGTTTTAGATACAACTCAGGACACAACAGATGACCTTCCAGTAGCTGCTCTTACCCGAGAACAACTACAGCAAGCCCTGATACATCTAATCAAGGTCGGTAATTATAGCAAGCCCTGGTACATCTAATCAAGGTCAGAAATTATAGCAAGCCCTGATGCATCTAATCAAGGTCAGTAATTACACAAGCCCTGATACATTTAATCAAGGTCAGTAATTACGGCAAGCCCTGATACATCTAATCGAGGTCAGTAATTACAACAAGCCCAGGTACATCTTATCAAGGTCAGTAATGAAGCCCTGATACATCTAATCAAGGTCGGTAATTAAGCCCTGATACATCTAATCAAGGTCAGTAATGAAGCCCTGATACATCTAATCAAGGTCGGTAATTAAGCCCTGATACATCTAATCAAGGTCAGTAATGAAGCCCTGATACATCTAATCAAGGTCAGTAATTAAGCCCTGATACATCTAATCAAGGTCAGTAATGAAGCCCTGATACATCTAATCAAGGTCAGTAATTACAGCAGGACCTGATACATCTAATCAAGGTCGGTAATTAAGCCCTGAAACATCTAATCAAGGTCAGTCATTACGGCAGGACCTGATACATCTAATCAAGGTCAGTAATTATAGCAAGCCCTGGTACATCTAATCAAGGTCAGTAATTATAATTAGCCCTGATACATCTAATCAAGGTCAGTAATTATATCAAGCCCTGGTACATCTAATCAAGGTCAGTAATTATATCTAGCCCTGATACATCTAATCAAGGTCAGTAATTATATCAAGCCCTGATACATCTAATCAAGGTCAGTAATTATAGCAAGCCCTGGTACATCTAATCAAGGTCAGTAATTATAGCAAGCCCTGATACATCTATTCAAGGTCAGTAATTATAGCAAGCCCTGATACATCTAATCAAGGTCAGTAATTATAGCAAGCCCTGGTACATCTAATCAAGGTCAGTAATTATAGCAAGCCCTGATACATCTAATCAAGGTCAGTAATTAAGCCCTGATACATCTAATCAAGGTCAGTAATTATAGCAAGCCCTGATACATCTAATCAAGGTCAGTAATTATAGCAAGCCCTGATACATTTAATCAAGGTCAGTAATTAAGCCCTGGTACATCTAATCAAGGTCAGTCATTACAGCAAACCCTGATACATCCTATCAAGGTTATCTGTTACAATCACATAGTACAATGCCATTATAGCAGTTAAAAGGTGTACAGAAATGAATTATCTCTTTCTATAGTTGGTTGTACATCTTTTTAATATTTCAAATATATTTCATTATTTTTCATATCTACAAAATGTGACTCCATTATAAACTTTTTTTCAATTTTAAAAAGCTTTCATCTGTAACATGTTTACTGTAATGCCTTTGTCAGCTAGGATTTTGTTTTGGATGTTCCAGAATGATTCAAGTTTCATAGACAGTATACATCAAGCCTATCTTAACAGTCTAAAGTTATCCCACAAGACATAGCATTTTAAAGACACACTGTAGAGTCCAAGAAAGCCAAAGGATTGCCCGTTCAATCATGTGACCAGGACTTTAACTCAATCATGTGACCAGAATTTTAACTCAGTCATGTGACCAAGATTACAACTCAATCATGTGATCAGGATTTCAACTCAATCATGTGACCAGGATTTCTTCACCAGAATCCTCATTTTTCATCAGTAGCAGACAGTACTTGATTTCGTTGTTGTTGTTCGTTGTGATCAGGACCAAGTTATAAATAGAAAATTCTAAATTTATGAAAGAGTTTACATTAATTCTCTCTTTGGCTGCATTAAAGTGCAATTCCTGATCATCAGGTCTAATTGTATGGTCACACAAGAGTGTGGCTTTTGTCAAGTGCTTAAACAATAGGTTGCTCATAAGGTTTTCAGTATTATTTTGAATGACATTCACATATCCTGTATTTATGGATAACAACTTAATAGGTTGATGGTGTGAAAATATAAACAGATATGATCTCAGTATATGGTGTCATAATTTTAATTAGAAGAAATCAATATGTTGTGGAGAGATGTTATTTATTTTTGTTTGAAAGATTTATATGCATTTTGCAGTTTGTACCAAATGTATTTGGTATATATGATTTTTAGCTCTACTGGTCAGAGACCAGAAGAGCTTATGCGATAGTAAGGTGTCCGTCGTCCGTCCGTCTGTCTGTCTGTCTGTCTGTCTGTCCGTCTGTCTGTAAACAATTTTTCAAAACGCTACTCCTCCTACAGTTTTGGTCTGATTTCAATATAACTTGGCACACAAGTAGACTACACTAAGATACATAATTTAGTGCATCGGTTTTTGATTTCGATGGACGGTGTTGCCATGGTTACTAAAAATAGAAATTTCTGTGAAATTCCTTTAAAATGCTACTCCTCCTACAGTTTTGGTCCGATTTCAATATAACTTGGCACACAAGTAGACTACACTAAGATACATAATTTAGTGCATCGGTTTTTGATTTCGATGGACGGTGTTGCCATGGTTACTGAAAAAAGAAATTTCTGTGATATTCCTTTAAAACGCTACTCCTCCTACAGTTTTGGTCCGATTTCAATATAACTCGGCACACAAGTAGACTACACTAAGATACATAATTTAGTGCATCGGTTTTTGATTTCGATGGACGGTGTTGCCATGGTTACTAAAAATAGAAATTTCTGTGAAATTCCTTTAAAATGCTACTCCTCCTACAGTTTTGGTCCGATTTCAATATAACTCGGCACACAAGTAGACTACACTAAGATACATAATTTAGTGCATCGGTTTTTGATTTCGATGGACGGTGTTGCCATGGTTACTAAAAATAGAAATTTCTGTGAAATTCCTTTAAAACGCTACTCCTCCTACAGTTTTGGTCCGATTTCAATATAACTCGGCACACAAGTAGACTACACTAAGAAACATAATTTAGTGCATCGGTTTTTGATTTCGATGGACGGTGTTGCCATGGTTACTAAAAATAGAAATTTCTGTGAAATTCCTTTAAAACGCTACTCCTCCTACAGTTTTGGTCCGATTTCAATATAACTTGGCACACAAGTAGACTACACTAAGATACATAATTTATTGCATTGGTTTTTGAATTCAATGAACAGTGTTGCCATGGTTACTTAAAATAGAAATTTCTTTGAAATTCCTTTAAAACGTTACTCCTCCTACAATTTTGGTCTGATTTCAATCTAATTTGGCACACAGTTAGAATACACTACGATACATAATATGTATTTCTGTTTTTTTTTATTTGGGTGAATGATGTTGTCATGGTTACTAAAAATAGAAATTTTAGTGAAATACTTTCATTACGCTACTACTCCTAGTTTTCATTTGATTTCAATATAACTTGTCACAAAAGTAGACTACATTAAGATACATAATTCTATTTATTGTTGCATGTTGCAATGTTTCAAATCCAAGTGCTACTTTTCTTTTGTTATACAAACAGACCAGTAGAGCTACAGTCTCATCAGAGACTTCTGGTTTTAAAACATTGTAACTTGACTTGCACAATTTTGTAAAAGTCACAATTGCTGTGTTCATTTATTTCCCCTTTGAGATTGCCTTCATCTAACTTTTCTCTAATGTATTAAGATTACCAATGGTTACAGCTTTCTTGTCAACTTTTTTTTTTAAATTTGTGCTCTCTTTTTTGCAGCTTATCCCTGATAACTTCATGTCTATATATTTATAATTTTGTTGGCATGATTTGAGGTAGCTATTTCATATTTTTAAGTGCTTTGTAAGTTGCCATGGTTTGTGGTCCATTTATTCTCCATATTGATGAGGTGCTTTCATTATATAAGAGTTGATATAGAGGTCACACTGAGAAGTAAGGATAACCAAATACAGGGTCATTTTCTAGCTTTTGAGTTCTCATTTATATAAGTTTATGTTAATCTTAGCCATCTTTTGGTCAGTTTGATTATAGGATTGAAATACTGTATTAAATACAAGGGGAATACTCTTCCATTGGCTCATATATTCATCTCTGTCATTAGCTTGCATATATCACAGTGATTAGCATGGTAAATAGTGCGTTTGTTAAAATTCATCATAATTTAATGTTTGCTCTAATGTTTATCCTTTAAGGTTGATATTTACTAAATAGATCTAGAACTATCTCTTTTAACTTGAATTAATCCATGGAATACCATCTGTTTTGATTTCCATTAAAAATCTTTATGCGAGCCCATTGCAGAGTTGTCCGAAAGAGGAACGAACAACAACTCTGTAAGGGAGATTAATGTGCACACCAGCCTTTAACAGTTTATAAAAATTTTGAAGAAAATTTAAACTAATTTTATTTAAAGACTTAAAAATCTTTAATTTTGTATTAAAAGAAAACTGATTTTCTTCAGTGAGAATGATTCAAACAATAGTTTTCAATTTGTAGATGTAAAATACATGTAGGTGTAAATCAAGAAGTGGAATTTAGGAAATGAAATCAAGATTTGAAGTGTAAGGTAATATTGGTCTAATAATGTTTGTAAAAATCTTGTGAGAAGAATGTGGTTCTATTCTTGAAAGCAGTTTATCCTTTTATCAATCTTGACATAACAGCATAATAGAGAAAGAGAGATAACACCTGGTACATACAATAGATACTTGGTATAGTTGGAACAGTCAGACCTCAATATCTTGAACATGGCTGTACTTTCAAAAAATTCTGTGATATTTGAAGGTTCAGAATATCAAAGTTGAGAGGGAAATCATGATATGGTCGTGACTGCATGCTTATTTTGATATATATCAGTGATCAAGGTACAGAAGATATAAAAAATTTTCTGCTATTTTTTTTCTTGAGGGAGGCGAATAGAGAAGATAATTATGGCTTCCTATAAATCTGGTCCATCATAATGATTAACCATATATAGTTTCTAATTGCAGGCATCAAGGAACAAACAGTAAAATTTTTCTACCATGTGTGTTTAGTATATGATATAGTGTATGATTTAGTGTATGATTAAATAGAAACATTTTTTGCATTCCATGGCATGAGAATATCTCCTTTAGAAAACATACCAAAATATTGTTAACAAATATCAAAGAAAAGTAAATGGGTGCTACACTGTAAATGGTAATTTGGTTCTTTACAAGAATCATTTCTCATTCCTGATTTTGAGGTATCGTGTATTCACCAGTCAGTTTTATGTGACTAGTATGTAGGTCAGTTTATTTGAAGCGAATGGTGCATTACAAGTGGGTGCATTTAGTTTGTATGTCTGTGTTGTAAGATAATAGGGACTTTTATCACAAATTCTGTCTCTAGTGTAGTCACTGGTATGCTGACTTATTTCATGTCAACAAAGTATTGGAGGTTTGTTTATCAGAGTTACCAGCAGCAGAAATGATTTAACGTTGTTGACTTTAGGGCTGCTGTTGATAGAGTCTGTGTATGATCTTATCCATTTCTATTGTGTTGAGGATTCAATAAATCTTCAGTGTCTAGATGTGTGTAAATGTGTGTGTGTACTTTTGTCTGTGTTTGCTTATGATGGAACCTGCTCGGTGAGTTTTATTGGTATTTAAGGAAATGTTAGTAAATTTTGTTTTTCATGTTGAGAAAAGTTCTAGGTTAGTCATTCCGTAAACATATATGTAAATGGCTGTTATATTTAATATCAATCTCTTGGTTATCTTGCCCTTTAGGGAGAAAAAAGAAATCTGTGGTATATATATATTATGTGGGTGTTTGTGAATGAAAGATGAAGGCAATTGGATGTTTGTAAACATTTCTAATGTGTTTGGTGATCAAGTAATACAGTAAAATACGCTTATAACGAAGTTCCAGGGACAGGCAATTTTGCTTCCTTACAAACGATTCAATATATCCATTAACTTTACAGTATATTTTTAAGTCATGGAGAATGAAAATCACTTCACTATAAGCTTCAATTCGTTATAAGCGTGTTCGCTATATGCGTGTCTTACTGTATGTGCAGTACATGACTATATAATGGGAGGGGTGTATGTTGATTGTGGTCAGTCATCTTATTTCAAATGGAAATAAAGAGAGTTTGTTACTAACCATCAGAATAGCCCATTGGTTTAAACCTTTCATGTACCGGTAGATTAAATCTTTCAGTGTTCCAATCCTATGAGGGCTTTTAATAGATTTTTCTCTGTGGGTTTACAGTACTTTCCACTATCCATATTTAAAAGATATTTAAGAAATGAATTTAATTTTTGAAGATTCATGAGGACATGAACTACAACGCTTCACGCCGGCATATTTCATGAAGCGTGTTAGTGCTTCATGATAAATATGCCTGTGTGAAGCGTTTTAGTTCATGTACCTCATGAATTTTCAAAAATTAAATTCATTTCTTATATTTACATTATTTTCTGATGAGTTACCACAAATTACGCCATTCAACTGTCATTTATAAAGCAAAACAGTTTGCACTATAGTTTTGACGTCAAGTACGGTATTATGACGTAACAATGGAGATATTCATGCTCATCCATCGTAGTTCATGAGAAAATGAACAATCTTCTAATTTGCAAAGAATATTAAGGAAAAATATTTGGAAATGTAAATATTCATGTATGTTGGTGTTCTTTCCATTCTTAATACTGTTACTGGGTGTATTACACTGTTTTCTTGATGTTGACATTTTAACAAGAACTATCACAAAATTTTGATTTCACATTGGTAATGTGATTTTGATTTGTTATAATGTAAGTTCTGTAACTTGAATTGTATTGAATTAGAATTGTCAAGAGGGAA